TATATATATATATATTCATGCATCATTTCTATGACATTTCTGCTGTTTTTTGTTTTTTTTTTACCAGTGGGAAGACGTTTTATTTTTATTTTGTAATATATTATACGGTACATAATGTTATTATGTTATGAATTTTAATATAGTATTTAGTTAAACAGGGCTATTCATTATTATGTTTTGGAGTTATACAAATTATGGTGACTGAATTATTAGATTTTTGTTGAGTTATTGGTGATATTTAGTATAAAATTATCTGTTCAAATGTGGTATAATGCCGTCACCCTAATTGGGTTCCTGAATATTTGTGTCAGATAAATACTGCTGTTTGAAAAAAATTTATGAAATAAGCAAAACTATCTTGAATATAGTTAGATACGGCAAAATGCAGTAACTACACATTTTGTCAAAATTGTGTTATGACTAAAATTGGGTCATTTTATAATCTTTCAGACAGGTTCAGCTCAACTTTCGATGAAAACGTAGTGTGAAAATTGACATCAAATGACTGCAAATTTAATCATAAAACTTTGAGGCCTTCACAGTTCCAGTGTTGGTGTGCTTGCTGCATTTTGAACTACTTTTTCAAAAAGCTTCTTTTGACTGCAGCTGAACAACTTTAAATGAGCAGCTTGACAAGCTGCAGTTTCAGTATAGCTGTAAAAGAAGATCATTATATGTTATCAACTGACTTCCTAAAGGGCTTAAACACTCAGAGAACCTTTAATTTGCAGTAAAGAACAAAGCAGAAATGTAGTGTAATGTAAAATATACACACATTATCATCAACATCCGCAACGTTTCATAGTCCGAGCATGTTTAATTCTTTTTTCTTTTTTTTTCCACTGAGGAAATGTTAGACTTTGTTTGAGCATTCTGATGCCACTGTGTTGTGGAATTTTCTTCAAAACGAATATATGCAGTCACGCTTGGATCACACTTAGAGATGAGCTGAAAGTAAATGACCTCCAGGTGTGTAAATAATGTTGTAACGGTGTAATCATGTACGTTTATGAAGTGTGAATGTCTGCGCAGAGCCCATCTGACTGCATCAGAGTGTCCATCATTTGTGGAACGGCTCACAGTCGGTCCTGCCGAGCTCAGCATTAACGAGCCCGTTACAGCTCCTGCTTGCGCTAATGGATTAGCCATTCCATCGGAGTCAAGCAGTCTTTTTATGGCCCTGGGTTATGTGTGTATTTGTGTTTTGTGCGAGCAGTCTACAGCATCGATTTGGTGGCTACAAATTTAGATTCCTCTTTCCCAGTGTCAAAGACATCAGTCTGCTATGTTACTCTCTCTCTGTCTTTCTTTTCTTCCAGCACTGGAAAAAAAAAACTGCCCCCCCCCCCCCCCCCCCCCCCCCACACACACACACACACCCTCTCACGCAATCAGACATGCCCCTCTTTCTGCACGCAACCTCTCGCTTGCTTTTCCTTCTTTCTGCCTACCTTCTGCAGACATCTTTCCATTTCCCCTCTTCTGCTAATGCATTCTTTCCCTGGCTCATCATTCTATTTTTTCATTCTGCAGCACAA